TCTTTCCCTGTCAAATCACATAATAAGATCATGAATCAATACAGGAAGGAAGGAGACCAGCAGAACATATACAATCCAATCCAAGCAAGGTTGAGTACTAGCCTCAATCTGGTTGTATTTCTCCAGACACAGTTTCGCCATATCTTCCATGTATCGGCGGCCTGTGAGGCCGTGCAAGAAGGGGCCGTCGAGATTAACCTGATGGTATCCTCCGATGCATCTAGGAATCAATTCCCTATCCACCTCGAAACCCTAGATCGTAACACAAGGGATTTTCTAGTAAATTGACGGAATTGAAACGTACTTCGAGGTAAAAGAACGCATCTGCTCAGGCCTACACGTACCCTGGTCTCGTGAATCTGACGAAGGTATCGACGCACTTTCAGATTAGCCTCCTCGTCCGACAAATACTTATGATCATCGTCAGGCGACTCGTACTCCGCCCCGTCGAAGCTGTCAACGCCCCATTCGGGTATGTCGTCCGAGCTGCTGCTACCCTCTTTTCCGGCCTCATTCTCGACCTCCATCTCGCCATCTTCACCGTCGTCCTCGGGATCAGACGCATATTCGGAATCAGAGGCATCTTCTTCGGCCTTGCGCTTCTTGACGGACGAATCCGCCATCTCCATTGACTCCGTCGTCTTCGTCTCCTGCTCCTTCGAAGCTTCTTCGGTCATCGTCTTGGTCTCGCTCGCCGATTTCGGATCCATGGTCGCACAAGAAACCCTAGGCACTATCGACTTGGGCGCGCGAAAATATCTTATTCCTATAGACAAAAGCAAAACACTAACTTACACTATTATTTACCCAATTGCCATCACATTTAGTGCTTTTATTTTTTTTTAACCTTTTTATTTATTGGTTCAAGGTTGTGGAAAGTTACCCAGGAAACTCTTTCTAATTTCTTAATATCAAAATTTATAAATTATTATTGTTACTATTAAGAAATTGTATATTAAAATTTTAAAATATCTACCGGAAAATAAATGCTCGGAGGTTTTTGGGTTCAGGTTATATATATATATTAAAATTTTATAATTGCTAACAACATTGGCCAATTAATGATGAAGATCAATGCAAATCCATCTTTTTCTGTTGATGGGCTCTCGAAGATACAGATTCTACATTTTCCGAAGTCCTTTTTTTTTTTTTTTAATGTTGTGCCTACTATTTTATAAAAATTATAGAGATAATTTTTTGTTGTTGATGTAAAGAAGCATATTGTAATATTATACGAAAAAAAAAACGAGGCACTAAGATTATACATAAAAACAAAACAATATAAACCATATAAAAGTTTGATCCAAAGATATAATCGTTGTAAACAGTTTTAGATGACGAAAGTGCTTGTCCCCATACCCATTTCTTGCTTCTTCCTTTAAACCCTAAAAAATGAAACAGAGTGAAAAAAAAAAACAGAAGATAGAGTAAAAAAGATAGGAAATTTCTATCTGGGTTTGGAAGGTTGTCAGAAAATGAGAGATGGGTAACTGTGAAATAGTAACACCCCGTGGGTGGGTATATGAACCAGAAGCGATTGCAGAAGAAGAAGAAGAAGCAGAAGAAGAGAATGGTCGGAGGGTATTTTCGTCACGACAGAAAAACAGCTCACGGTTCTTCATGATGGGTTAAGAACAGACACGACATGACATGCGAATACGATAAAACAATGAGTGTGTGTGGTCAAAGTATAAACGTATAAGTGTGATCTTGTGTCTCCATACCCTTTTTTTTTTCTTGTCAAGAATCTCCAGTAACTTTTTTTGAAATCACTACTGTTTCACGTTTTAATTCATTTTGAAAACTAGTATCTATTTGTGGCTCCTGAAAAAATATCCATAAGAACATCAGGAAATTTGTGAATGTGGCATCATATGCGTAAAGTGTATATGTTATGGTGTCTGCGCTTTATAAGGTCAGTCCGCCATTTACATAATCATTTTTTTAAAAAAAAATATTCTTGAGTCCAGATACGAGTCTATATGAATAAAGAAATGATCATAAACGGGAATGTATACGTATTGTATGCCTCTACGTATTCTGTAAAAAGATATTTGTCTCTATAAAATTATACGACTCGAGGTTATGTCATTAGGTTAAAACTTATCCACTTGTATGCCTCTACGTATTGTATACGTATATGCATTATGTTATTATTTTTAGATTGGATTAGATCGTAACAGGTCTTTAAGATTGCTTTGGACTAAAACTTGTTGGTTTTCGCGCGTCATGCAAAACATCTTCGGACAAAAACTATTTCTTTTTTTTTAATAGTACTTGTGGTTTTCAATGTTTGATTTGAACGTTTCAATTTTTTTTTTTCAAACAGCGTGAGTTCTGATGACAATTACTAGTAATTCATTATTCATTAACAGATAAAATATGATATGGATAATAGAGTGATAACAATTTCATACATAATTAAGATATTATTTCGGTTCAATTTAAGTAAACCGAAATGACGTGGCATGTTTAAAACATGTGGCAAATACGTGGATAATTCCATCAGTTCATTCAACACGATATTGATGCCGTTATTGTCAATGTTGGAATATGGGATATATTTGCAAATCCGTGGTTGGTATCAATATTCATGTCTTTATATGATAATTTTTAAAAATTCATGCATGCATTTTTATGCTATTGTATTTTAAATATATTGTTAACTTCTTGTGTGACATTTGTCTTCTTCATCATTTACATAATCATTTTTTAAAAAATATTCCTGAGTCCAGATACGAGTCCATATAAATAAAGAATGATCATAAACGGGAATGCATGGATACCCGAATCATTCTGTAAAAAAGATATTTGTCACTATAAAATTATATAATCACTTTACGTTGACATAAGTGAACCAGGTAGTTTCGCTGGATTATGGAATACCGATATTATATAATCAAAATTTACTGGTAATGCACGCATATAGCCATATAATGTACAAGTGAAGTGATAATACATATTTATGCGTTTGTAGAGAATGTATGTATATATGTAATCCATAATAATTTCAGGTATTGAGGAGCATTTTGTTATCAGAAGCTTCTCCCGAAATCCCTCAATCACAGAGCTTCGTGGCTCTGTTTAAGAAGAAACCCAGAAAAACAGAGTATATGAGAGAGAGTAATGGAAAAACTTCAGATTTTATTAGCGTTACTTCCACTTTAAATAGACAAACAAAATACGAACAAATAGCAAATTGAAAACAAATCACAACTGAAATTGCAGAAAAATCTGGAAATTAAAACAATCTTTGATCGGGCCTCTCGACTTGATCAGGTCCTCCTTTTGTCCGAGTCTTCCGCCTCCAACTTCAGACACGTACAAGATTATTTCTTATCATTCTTCCCCTTAATCTTGTTCCCTTGATCTCAGGTTCCGAATTCCGATCGCATGACGCAGTTCCTCGAGTCTGTCTCTTGGCAATGGCTTGGTTAACAAGTCTGCATATTGCTCTTCAGTTCTGACAAAGTCGAGCTCAATCTCCCCTTTCTGAACGCATTCACGGATGAAGTGATATTTCACTTCAATGTGCTTGCTCCTGCCATGGTGAACGGGATTCTTTGCAAGTGCGATTGCAGATTTGTTATCCACATTGAGCTTTACCCTTCGGTCGTGGTGTCCTCTGATCTCGAACAGCAATCTCTCCAGCCATAAGCCCTGACATGCTCCCGCCGTTGTTGCCACATACTCTGCTTCACATGAGGATAAAGCTACAATTCTCTGTTTCTGTGACATCCACGTAACCGGGCTATTCCCGAAAAAATACATTACCCCGGTTGTGCTCTTCCGCTCATCAACATCTCCTGCTAAGTCACTGTCACAATATCCGATCAATTTTGCGTCCCCTTTCTCTCGTGTGTATCTACAACCGTAATTGAGGGTTCCCCGAACATAGCGGAGAATCTGTTTCACAGCTCCCCAATGTTTGATGGTTGGCGCTTCCATAAACCTGCTCACAACACCCACAGAAAACGCAATATCCGGGCGAGTGTGAACCAAGTACCTTAAACTCCCAATCGTGCTCCTGTATAACGTTGCATCCATCAGCGGGTCGTTTCCTTCTTTGCTCAACTTTGTCCTGGAATCCATGGGTACTCGACACGGTTTACAGCATGCCATTCCCAGCTTCTCAAGAAGCCTCTCTGCATATCCGGTCTGCTTGAGAGTTACACTCTCTAGCTCTTGGTGCACTTCGATTCCCAAATAGTAAGAGAGAAAACCAAGGTCGCTCATGTCAAACATTCTCTGCATCTGTTTCTTGAACTCCTTTATGTTCTTGTCCTTAGAACCCAGAATTATCAAGTCGTCCACATACACACCTACAATCTGCACATCCTCTGGCCTTTCTCTCTTGTAGACAGCATGCTCCACTTTACACTTTTCAAACCCAATTTCTCGCAGACTTTGATCGAGTTTCTGATTCCATGCTCTTGGTGCCTGCTTGAGCCCATACAAGGCTTTCTTTAATCTCAGCACCTTGTCTTCCTCCCCTTTCCTTTCGAATCCAGCTGGTTGTCGAACGTACACTTCTTCCTCTAATTCTCCGTTGAGAAACGCTGATTTTACGTCCATATGATGCACTTTCCACCCCATCTGTGCAGCGAACGCCAGCAAGAGTCTTACTGTTTCTAGTCTTGCCACCGGAGCGAATACTTCCTCGTAATCGATCCCGAGCTTCTGTACATATCCCCTTGCCACAAGTCTTGCCTTGTGCTTGATCACGTCTCCTTCTGGGTTCCTTTTCAATTTAAAAACCCACTTAAGACCAATTGCACGATGACCATCTGGTAGGTCTGTCAGTTCCCACGTCTTGTTTCGATTTATCGATTCGATCTCTTCGATCATTGCTCGCTTCCAATTCTCATCCTCTGTAGCTTCTTCGAACGAGCTCGGTTCTTCGATTGAGAGCAAATACAGGTCCTCCCAAGGTACAACTTCATGCGTTGCATCGTACACCTCCCGTATGGATTTGTACCCCCTCGGTCTCATAGAACTGCTCTCTTCCCCTGAGTCGCTACTTTCCCGAGCTTCTGTCACTGGTTGTAATGGTGTTCTGGGTGATGTTGGAGTGAGAACATCAGGTTCGTGTTGTCCCGTCACTGTGACACGAACCCCTGAAGTTGCTGAGCTGGATTCCACTTCTTTGTTTTTCCAATTCCATTTTTCATCTTCTTTAAATACCACGTCTCTGTTCACCACTATGTGATTACTCTTGGGATTGAGTAATCTGTATGCTTTGGTCCCCGGTTCGTATCCCAGCATCACAAGTTTTTCGCTTCTGTCTTCTAATTTTTGTAGGTGTGTACCAACACGTTTAGCATATGCAATGCAGCCGAACACCCTGAAATGAAACACGCTTGGAGGTTTTCCGAACCAGGCCTCATACGGTGTTTTACCTTTCACACTTGTGGTCAATGATCGATTCAGAATATACACCGCTGTCTTCGCTGCTTCTCCCCAATAACAATCAGGTACTTCTCTGTTGTGCAGTAAGCATCTGATCATCTCGACCACTGTTTGATTTCTCCTTTCTACCACGCCGTTTTGCTGCGGGGAATATGGCGCAGTGAGTTGCCGCAGTATTCCGTGCGTTTCACAGAATTTGTTGAATGCTCCTGATGTAAATTCTCCTCCCCTGTCTGTTCTAAACATCTTGATCTTTCTGTCAGATTGTCCCTCCACAACAATCCTTATCTTCTTAAAGACTTCTAGTGCATCGCTTTTGTTCTTCAGAACCTCAATCCACATGAATCTGCTAAAGTCGTCAACGAG